TGGGTTCCAAAAGGAAGAGGGAATAAGAGGCCACTATGCATAAGGGAAACAGTCATAAGTGTTAGCTCACAGTGGTGAGTGCCTTTAATTCCAGCACTCAGGAAGCAGGGGCAGGCAGATTTCCATTTAAGGCCAACCTGGTCTACAGAGTAAGTTCCAGGATAGCCAGGGCTACACAGAGAAACCCTGTCTCAAAAATCCAAAAGCAAAACAAAAGAATCATATCCACCAGGAGGTGCTGGGAGGACAGAATAATCATGGGGGCAAGGACTAAAGGAGGATATGTATCTGTGCTTCCTATATAGCAGAAGGGCAGCTTAGGATATGTATCCATGCTTCCTATATAGGCAGAAGAGCAGCTTAGGATGTGTATCCATGCTTCCTATATGGGCAGAAGAGCAACTTAGGCCCCACCCCAGCACAGGGGTTTTGGAAGGCAAGAGTGCTGGAATGTAGGGAACATACCCTGAAAGCCAGCAGCCAAGAGGCAATATGCTTGGTGCAAAGCTGAACCTCTGCATCTACTGGGAAAGAGGATTTACTCCATCAAGAGTACACATACTGTATCTTTCCTGTTTACCCTCTATAGTTCTTTATGCTGAACCCCCAGAATTAATCAGGACTTTACCCACCTCCTACGCTATGGAATGACTGTTCCCTCTGGGCATAACATGGCCATGCCACTGTGACTGTGAGGACTTGTTTAGCATGTTCAATCTTTCCTGAAGATCAGAGTGCGGAGCAAGCCACTAGTTAGCCATAGACACCAGGCAGTGGTGGCACACACCTTTAATCCCAGTACTTGGGAGTCACATTAACCCCAGTACTAGGGAGGTGGAGACAGGAGTCACGTGGCTGGGTGGAGAGAGGAATATAAGGCGGGAGGAGACAGGAGCTCAGGGCATTCAGTCTGAGGATTCCTAGAGACAGCACTCAGTTTGAGGATTTGTAGTGACAGGATCGCCCCTTTGGTCTGAGAATTCAGTAGAGGTAAGAACTAGTGGCTGCTCTGCTTCTCTGATCTTAAAGCATTAACCCCTATATCTGACTCTGGGTTTTTATTATTGAAACCAATTAGAATTCTCACTACACAATCTGATGAAAGAAAGGGAGAAAATGGGGGCGGGACTTGAGCAAACAAAATCTCAAGAACCTCTCCCTAGACAAACACAGCATTCATCAGCACAGGATATGTTGTCAATGAATTCTGAGCCACTTCTAGTGGTTGTTTCTACACACAAGGAAACTGAGGTGCCAACATGCCCAGGTCCTGTCAACCACCAACACCAGAATCCGAGGCCTGCTGCCTACCTAGTCCCAGTTCAGCTATGCCATGCAGCCACCTCTACAGGCCAAAACTGTGTCGGGTTCAAAGCAGCCAGCCTCATATATAATAAGCACACTGTGTACTCTGTTTCCTTTATAAACCTTCTGGCGACAACAGTATTTTCTGTTAAAACAGCAAGAAGGGAAATAAATAAAAAGCACGAAAATAGAAACACACATACCTGCTCCATTCTAATCCGGTCTATAAAAATTAACTGCGTTTTTACTTCTCGTTTTCAAGTCCCCAGAGAAGTCGGCACATGCTAAATACAAGTCCTGAGACTTGTATCTAGAAGAAGGAGGGGGGAAAAAAAGAAAACATGATCCCAGACTTAAAAAAACAAAAATGACCTTGATTGATCTGAGCAAACACCCATTGATAACCTAGTAGGATGAAAGACAGCTATGGAAGTTCACAGAATAGGGAACATCTGACCTGTGTGAGTCAGGCTTGCTGGCAGCACCCTCCAAGCAAGCTAAGCAGACTCCAGGAGCACAGACCCTCCTCTACACACCGGGTTCCCACAGAAGGGGCCTGGAAGTCAGCAGACAATCTCAGGGGATGGGGGCAAATTCAAGGACACCACAAGGAGGCAGGCAGGATGTAAGACAGTCTGAAGACCAAGTGATGGGAGTCTTTGAAACAGAAGGGAAGGAGAGACGGCTGGTAGCAGATGCATTTAATGCCAGCACTCAGGAGGCAGAGGCAGGTGGATCCCTGAGTTCCAGGACAGCCAAGCCTACCCTGTCTCAACAAAACAAAACCAAACCAAAAAGTAACAGAAGGGAATGAAACAGTGGGAAACGAAGGGATGAGGTGCAATACATTCAATATCAAACAAATACTGGAACAAAACATCCCAGCCAGTGTAACCATGCATAAGCCATGTTGGGGTCCTAATTCAAACCTTGAACAATCTTGGATATTTGAATACCTGGCTTAGGTGACATTGGGAGTTTGGGCTGGGGGAATGAGACCTGGACCGGCATACTAGCACCGTGGCTATATAACAAACTACAGATTAGTCTCCTACACACTAGAGTATGTTGAAATAAAATGACTCACAATGTCAGTTTCCTTCAAAGTACTTCAGCAGTAGCAACAGCAACAAAAATGAATAAAACCAGACAATTCTCATTAAGCGCTAACTCTAGACATGGATCATGGGGTGACAGGAGCACAAATTCTTATTATTCTATCCACTTCTGCCAGCTAAAAACGACCATGATTAAACAACAACAACAAATTTAACCTGTCTTTTGAAGCACTTTGAGAGACAAAACAGAAGCGAAGCTGTATCTTTTCCTGGCTTAATCATGAGACAAGATTCTTGATGAAATCTGAGCACTTAGGGGAGGAAAAAAAAAAGTCCTGTAATCCCAACACTTGGGAGGTGGAGAGGCAAGAGGATCAGTTTAAGGTCACTCACAGCTAAGTATCAAGTTCAAGGCCAGCCTAGGCTACTTAAGATCCTGCCTCAAAACAAACAGACTGGCCAGCAAAAGACCCCACCCTGGCTCAGGGACCTTTCCTGTGATACCCAGGTACCTTGATGGCTCTCAGCTACCAACTTTCCCAACCCATCTCAGAACCAAATCTGCAGGGAGGAGCCTGGGAAAGGGTAACAGTTTGAAGTGCCACGGGTGACTGATGCAATCTCGCCGGTTCCTTCCTGCTCCAGGGGCCCAGCCAAACAGTTGTCCAGCAGGGTCTGTGTTCCAAGCCCTCAGGGACAAGGGTCACACAGGATTCCACATTCCCACTGCTATGCCAAGCTTAAAACTCTGTTCTCCAGTTTCAAAAACATATCAAAAAAATAAAAATAAATAAAAACAAACTCCACGCATCAAACATGCCTGGCTTCCATCCCCACCTTCATCCAACGTGCTTCTCACCGACATTTGGGTGTGTTTAGACATTTGTGTTGAGGTTGAACCTACTGCCAAAGTAAAACTCCCTGGGAAGAAAACAAGTGTATCTACAGAGCCCAAGGGACTCTCACTGGGCAATGTATCAGCAAGGATGCTTTCCCTTTTACTCAGCAAATCCAGGAGAAAACCCCCAGTAAACAGGCCAGGGCTAGGGCCCTGGCAGCAATGAGTATGCCTGACACTTGAACAGTCACCATACTTGGGTCTCTGGCTCACCCAAGGAAAGAGAAGAAAAGAGGAGGGGTGAAAAAAAACCAACTCACAACTGTACCTTTGTTTGAACAGCATCAAAACGCTGCGAACAAATTTTCAGGCACAAAACTGACTGGCATTTGATCAGAAACATGTCAATACAGGTCAGCACCTGGGCTAGGAAGCCAGAACTAAGCAATTTCGAAGATTACCAATCTCAAATCCTTCAAAACACTCCCTGTAACAGGTATCAGTGTTTGCCCATATCGACAGCCAATACCCCTGGAAAAACAGGACTCCCAGAATCCTGTGTGAGACTGGGGGTTGGGGGATGGTTGGTGGTGGAGGGGTTCAGTGGAACCTCCTGGTAAACCCTGCATACATACATCATCCAGTGCTCGGGAGCAGGGCAGGATGATGTATACATAATCTTTGCAAGTCTCACTGCACACTTGGTCCTGTTTAACATTTCAGACTGCGCACTAGCTAAATGACTTTTACGTGCAGCGGTGTTATGTCAAACATGGAGACACAGGCATGCTGTAACTTGCAGAGGGGATGACAGGCTAAGGGCCCTGTTCACCATTTCATCAGTGGCGTGCGGCTCTCAGGGCCTGGTGAGCACTCTCTTGTCCGCATTCTAAGCCTAGAATTGCTTGCCCAGGCTTTCCCTCTCAAGAAGTAACCTATACAGTGTTTAATGCCGCAGCCTGGTTCTTGGAAGGAAAGCAGTTTTTAAGTTTTTAAAATCTTAAAGCATGAAACAGAGTCAAGTCCTGGGACTCTTAGCCTGAGGAAAAGGAGAGACTGGATTCCCAAGGATAACAGATTTCACTACATAAGCAGCACCTTGATCATCACAGATACACATAAAGCTAAGGACCCAGAAAAGAAAGCGGCCCGTGGATGTAAACATGAGCACACATTATCAGTATTGTGACCAATGGCTCAGAAGTTACGAGTGCCCACAGTCTGCCCACAGCAGCAGACCCAAGTTCAGTTCCCAGGACCCAAAATGGACTCACGACCAACTGTTCATCGAGCTCTAAGTATTTTTTAGACACCTCTGGCCTCCAAAAGCACCTACACTTACGTACGTATATGTTCATAAACGCATACACACAAGCACACACACAAATTAAAAATTAATTAACAGCATTTTAAAACCATCTCTAATGGGAACCTAAACCTAACCCAGTACTTCATACTAGCAGAGTTTCTGTGTTGCCAAACACTTAAGTATCCACTGGATTTCAAAAGTCATCTGCACCTCCAGTCTGGTTGGTCTTAGAATAAATAAGTATATTCAAGTATCTGCCCAAAATGTACCATCTCCCATTTATTCCAGAATCCTAAGACGTTGCCATTTCCAATATTGAGAAAGAGTCCTTTTTAAAAGGAAGTTGTTCCTGACTATCTAACGCGTTAAATTATCCACTCATAACTATATCGGCATAGTGACTACGCATTCATTTTTAATGCTGAAAACTTTCAGATTAAAGCAAAAATAAATAAAATAAACTCAGTTCCACACGACACAAGCAACATACCTGGCTCCTCTCTTTGTCCACTTTCTTGAAACACTTATTCAATGACAAATTATGTCTCACTGAGTTTTTCCACCCAGTAGGTGCATTCGCGAAATACGGGAAATGTTCCAAGATCCAGTTGTAGATATCCTTCACTGGCAGGCGCTTGGTCGGAGAGTCCTCGATGGCCATAAATATGAGGCAGCTAAAAGAGTAAGGGGGCTTGCAGTTGGGGTTCTGCCTGGCATCATAGGGCATGTCCGAGTGGGCAGGGGATGGCGGAGTGTCATCGTCCAGGTCCTGGACGGGGCTGACACTCCTGAGGACCGACTCCCCAAAGCTCTTCAATAAATTCTTGCTCTCATGTAGCCAGTTCAGGTTGGTCAGCTCTTCATCTTCCATGGTCCCCTCCTCTAATCTTATGTCAGGCAGAGGGAAGTCGAGGTCATCATCTTCCTGGAGGGCCTTGGAGAAACCGCTGCCCCGGTAACAGTGACTCAATCCACTGGACACGCTGATTCCTGAGCTCTCGGGCTTCTTACTGGCAGGCATGACTGGACCCATTTACGTGAAGGCTCCTAGGAAGGACAGCAAAGAGAAGTGATGAACTAGAGAAACTCAGAACAGAAAAACGGCTCAGGTCCCACCTAACTCCCTCTCCCCCTAACTGGGTCTCACTTACAAGGTGATGGCATCACTAGACTCCTGCGTGGGAGCCACACAAGCCCACCGCACAGTTACACAAATAAGAGAAATGAGTCCAGTACGTCAGCAGCATGGTGACCCTGATGGACCTTAAACGGAACAAAACTGAAAACATAGGTGGAACTTTTGATGCGCAAATAAAACTATAGGTGGCTTCTCCTCGGATCTACAGTTGCTCCCTGTGATCAGAGGAGAACTTATTACTACTCGGTGTCTCTGATCTTCTATTATAATGCACACATATCCATAGCATGTAAATTTCCTTAAAGACTCGGGATAAGCACAACAAAATTAAGTGTAATATACAATTATTCTGACTTTGTATTACCGGTGTCATTGCTTATCCTTCTCAAAAAGAAAAAAATAAATGCCAGGTCTGAAGGTGCTCACGCAACTGTAATCCCAGCACACCTGTCGTTCTAGCATCCTGGAGGCTACGGCAGAAAGACTTGAGTGTTCAAGGCCAAGCTGGGCTACATGAGATCAAGTCTAGAAGACAAGAAGAAAGTGCTGACAAGACGGCTTAGCAGGTAAAGACACTTGGTGCTGAGCCTGATGGCTTGAGTTTAATCTCCTAGACCTACGTGATGCAGAGAGAATCACTCCAGCAATTTGTCCTCTGAGCTCCACATGCACGCTGTGGCCATCACACACTCCCATATACAGACATATATGTGTGCACATATGTGCATATGTGTCCACATACATGTGTGAGTATGTATGGGATAAATAAATGAAATCTTTCATTGTGAAGAAAAAATAATAAAGATGGGAGGGAAAACAAGAAGAGTTACTTCCAATCCCATAAAAGACCCACATAAGAGACTTGGAGGTAAAACTGTTACCAGAGGTCACTGATTTGATTGTTTGGTTTTATTCTGTCCCACAAAAAAAAAATCATAAGGAAAAACTGCAACTTTAATTACATTCGACAAGTGTAAACGAGAACAACAAGGAATTCTTCAGACTACAACTTGAGGAAATACATTCAATTTAAGGACATCACACCTAGAGAGAGAAAGCATGTAACCTCAGGCCCTACAAAAACAAATGGGAATGAAAGCTATGCCAATAAGTAGAACTAGGATCATTGAAGAAAATAAAATTGAGAGGGCAACTAGAAACTTCAAAACAGGAAGGCAAAATCAACAGAAATTGTAACAGATTGTCTCCCCCGACCATCAGTACCCTCTACTCTTATCGGTGACCTAGAACAGAGAGTAAAACACTGACAAGAAAATACAAGGACATAGCAGTGTCACAAATAGAAAAACCCCTACAGACACAACCCTCTGGTACACAAGATAAAAAGGACAATGGGTCTTTTACTTGATGTGTGCAGAGCTGAAACTCACACTTAGTCTAAGAACATCTCTATTTTAGCTCAGTGAGGAGCTAAAGCAATGCACCTAGAAGAATTAATACGCTGGAGGTAAACAAATGGTCATTCCAAGCCTCTAAATACCCATGAACACAGCATTTAAAATGAGCACTGTTTCAGCACAGGAAGTTCTAGAATTCGATTCTAGAAAGCATGATGCAGAGCTCCAAACAACCAGGCAAGGTGCCAGCATGCTGATGCACTTTCCCACCAGGTGGACCGAGGTGCAAGGGGCACATCTTGCAAGAGAAGAAAATCTCCACAGGGCCTCACAGCCCACCTCAGGCAGGGCAGTCAAGGGGCATCGAGCTATCCAAGGAAATCTGTCTGTGTCAAACAAGGGAGCTAAGCTATGTTTTAGAAAAAAAAATGGTAGCTCGTATCTCCAGGATTGGGGATATTACTGAATGCAGCCTTATACTGCTTTTAACTTTCTTATGAAGAAATCAGGGCTAGTTTGTCTCAAAGTTTCCTTGGATCCCCCTAGGAAAGGCTCTAGCTGTCAGCATATCCACACAAAAGAGAACTACCCAGCCAGTGAAGTCAACTTTATCCCCAAATGAAAGTTTTATGTCTCCTGAGCTTCCAAACAGGAAATTTATATCATGGCTGACAGTAAAGTAATTTAATTGCACTGTTGCTATGACAACATACTGCTCTCTTTCTTTTTAATTTGCTTATTTGTCAGCAGCTTCCCAAAGGAACTAACATGCTATTCTCCATGTTTTCTTTTGTTTTCAACAAACACTGCCAGCAACGTGGTCCTATAAATGCCAATGCCAAGAAGAGGTGGTCTGAAGGGTCCCTAACCCTGGATTATTTCCCCAAACTCTCCATTAACTGCATTCCATTCCCCATAAATCCCGCTCTTCGTAACAGTATGGAAGGCTCCTGACCACGGACTGTACTTCTATGTTACAACAAAACAATCCCCAGCCCAGAAACCACAGCTGAGGAGTTTTCCATTATTATGCCCTAACTACAAAATTTTCCAAATCTCTTCTCCCTTCTTTTTCTTCTCTTAGAGACGTGGAGGACAGTGTCAGCCTACAGTCAAGCAAACATTTTTAATCTGCCAATAACGTTTGCTTTGAATAGTTTATCTACCCGTGACCGCCTTAAAAATCTCAAGTTATGGGTTTCGTCTCACACACCCTCATATTTTTTATGACTTCCTGTGTTTTATCTTCCTTTCTTTCAACGCAGAAAAATGGGAGCAGGGAAGCTTACTCTTTTTTTGCTAATAGCAGAAGTCTCCAAATAACTGACAATGCCATTATGGCCAAGGTCTGAAGAGATGTTAGTGGTGAACTTTTTAAAAAGTTGAGAAATCTTCCTCAACCAAAGCTGGGCAGTCTCGAGTTTGGGGGACCGGGAACCTCCCCCTCCTTGCGCGCGCACACACGCACGCGCTCCACTCCCTTTTACTGTACTTGTCAAAAACATTTCAAGGGGACCAACGGGTGCAGCGATTGGCTGCGGCCCGCGTCAATCAGCGGCGTTGCCAGGCAACAAGAAAACTGCTCTTCACGGCGTACACAGGGCAATTGGGAGCTCGCATACCTTCACTGCCGGTCAGATGTCATAAACCTTTTATTGGCCGCAGCGTGGCGAGCCTAAAAACAAATCAATAAGTGCCCACCGCCCCCCCAACTCACGGGGGCCCCAGAAAGACTTGCAGACTTGCAAAGAATCGGGGTGCAGAGGAGTAGGGCCCCGCGGGTCTCGGGATGCTCGCGGCCGGTGCTGAGCGTGCTCGGTTAGGGAGGGGATCTTTGTTAGGCGCCCTGTTCGCGGTCTTGGGGTCTCCAGTTGATCTGCACCCTCTGGCCGACCCGGATTGCTAGGGAAGCCTGCTCCGCAGACAATACCAACTCTGTCGCTCTCCGAGTCTGTAGGGAAACCGAGGCATGCGAAGCAGCCAGCTCGTCGGGGCAGGAAACTCCTAGCCGGGCAACTTCCAGGCTCAGGGCTGGGGGGTTCCCCCACTTCGGGACCCGCTTGGCCCGCACCCCGCACGGTGAGCCCAGTCCTGACCGCTGCGGGCCACCACGACGGCTCTCCAGCGAGGACCCCAGCCTGGGTGGCGCGGGAGGGCGCGGGCACGGACTCACCTGGCCAAGCGCGGCGCGGGGCCGCCGCTGCCTTCAGTGCAGCCGACAAAGTTTCGCGGGCGCCCAGCGGGCATCGCTCGGGGCCCCGCTGAGGACGCTCGAACCCTGGGCGGGCGGCGGGGGGCAGCCGCGGATGCGGACGGCAGGGGTGCGGGGGGCGGCGCGGCATGGGCCCCGAGCGAGCGTCCGCGGGCGCCGCGTCCTCCCGCCGGCCCCGCCGCTCTCCACGCCCCGTCCCGCCTCCCGCTCGCCTCCGCTGCGGCGCGTCGGGGCCGGGGCGCGCCGAGCGGCGAGAAATTGTTTCCACTGCAAACAAAAAAAGGCGACACATGACCAGGCAGGAGGAGGGGAAGCGCGGGGAGGGAGGGAGGGGCGGAGAGAGCGGGAGAGACGGAAAACGTGGGCCGGGCGACCCCGGGCTGCGGCGCGGGCCCTTAGGGAGGCCCTTTGGCCACACTGGGCCCCTGGGCTCCTCTGCAGCACCCGGGGACCCAGGGGAGTCGGGCAGGTGGCGCGTGGCTGGCCCCCTCCCCTGCTTCGGGCCACAAGAGCGGTGCTGCGCAGCTGGCAACGTGTCGCCGCAGCGCTTTTACCCCGGCCGCCTGCCTTACAAGGCTCGAAAGTAAAAATAAAAAGAATTACGACGCGAGCGAGCGAGGCTTCTGAGGGTGAGGAGAGATGATTCCACTTCTCTCCAACTACTACTGCAGCACTCTCGAGGCGGGTCAGGTCCTCCTCCACCATGCACCTCCTGCCGGAGACGAAAAACTGATCCCCAGCCTCTAGCTTAGGTTGTCTTGGCTGTGGAGGACGGGAGGATGGCCGCCACCACGGAGGGAGAGGTGCACCCCAACTGCAACATCAATGGGTTCTCCCCGATGGGCTGCGTTAAGAGCCCCATCCGGCTTCTACATCTGGAAGGAAAGCAAGTCTCCCCTCCTTCACGTTTTTGATCGTCATAAATTAAAAGGATAATTTGCAAACACCCCTAGCCCTGGGAATGGCACAGCCACTTCTCCCAGTCTCCAGGCACCTCCAGAGAATGGCCACCCACTGCTAAAGGCGCACCAGCCCACAGCCTTTGGAGAGAGGATGAAAGCAGAGTCCAACAGGACACCCTGCTGGTGACATAAATAAAAATAGGATTTCGCACCACTCCCAGGTAGCTAGGCGAGCAGGTTCTACAAAGAGAAGCCCAAAGCCATCCTCCCACGCCCACCTCAAAAGTGGACAGCTATGAAGAGCAATCTGTGTGATCTGGGCTACAAACAGTAACTTTTAACCTAGCCAGACCAGGGACAGGAAGGGAGAGAGGTGAGAGAAATAATACCACATGCTTCTGAGAAGTTTTTGTTTAAAAAAATAAAAATAAGAAAAC